TTTTTTTTTACGAGGAGGAAGCATCGAAAGCCTAACCCCGTCAGTGTGAGACTTTAACCCAAACTAAACCTCCTACCGTCATGTACCGTTCCCCTCCCGGTACCACCGTCAAGTATTTCGTCGGAAGGTGGGTTGAGCACGAAGCTCTACGTTCGTTGCAGTCCTGATGCAGTCCGTTGAAAGTTGCATCAACTTGGAGCCGTCCTTTGTCTTCGAAAAAGCACCCACCCTTGTCGGGTCCATGCGTCCCCGCCCGCCATGTTTCGTCCGCCTATTATATAACGCCTCTGCTTATCTTCATGCCTCAGCAGCTACTGCCTCGACCAAATATCGCGCCTGGTGGTAGATATTTCATCTGGGCGTAGTTATGTGTCGTCCATTTCGACGCTGCTCATCTCTTCTCAGTTGGGTCAAAATGTGCGTGACTGCATTGTTCACCGCTTCCCATTTTTCAACGGATTCTATCATGTGAACTACCATGTTTTCAGGTGTGGGGTGTTCTCCAAATACAGAGCGAATGTGGTTTCTATCCAGGCTGAAGGGTGGTGTTAGCACACAAAGTTTGTGTCGGCGTCAGTTTTACGCTAGCGCTATCTTGGCGCTGGTGCAATATTGACGCCGGCGCTTTTCTCTGGGCGGTGTTAGCACAGTAACGCCAACCATTGTGCTAGCTCAATTGCGCGGCGCAGCGCAGTGTTACCCATGCCTAATTTTCAGTCTTGTACAAAAATTTTAGTGAACGGACGTGTTGTGCTATATTATTTTCAGCACTAGCGGGCTTTTACAAAATAAGCATTTGCATATGTAAATGCCACTTGTTTGTATGTCCCCGTATATTAAAATGTATCAGAAAAGTAGCATTAAATATGGGGATACATATCTTGTAAGAATGCTTTAATACTGTTCCATTAATGCATTTTTTTATGTTTGAAACATCAATACAGCCATATGCATACAGCAGTAGTACAAGTGTATGATTAGAGTAAGCATACGCTCTGAGAAACCACGCGTGTTAAATGGAAATGAAGGTTCATTTATACTGGCATGTATACACAGCAGCAAGCTCATGCCACCAACAGCGATGCCGTATGCATAAAATTTCTACTGGGTTCATTTATAACCTAATCGCAGCGTATGTATGTAAAATACATACATAAATATCGTCGTTTAAAGTGCAAAACCGCGTATCAACAAAATGCAAAACCGCGTATCAGCAAAATGCAAAACCGCATATGTGAAGTTGTAGAAATTATTTTCTAGAGTATATTTCAGGACGAATGGGTAAGGTTTGAGCCAAGAGCTTTTGTGAGCAAATCCAATTTTTGGCAGCCAATGTCAGCTACGCGGGTTTGCAGAATCACGATACGCGGTTTTGTACCTTAAACGACGATATTTACATATGTTGATTGCAATTAATGTGGATCTGTTTTTCTTTTAGTAATCTATGTCAGTACGTATGTATTTATGGACATATGAATGCATAATACGCGAAACATTTTTCGTCATATCAGATATGTAATGTTCGTTTGATTTCACAAAATGAGATATCAAATTAAAGGGCTTAGCCAGTGGATGTGCAATAACTTCTTATTTTTTCAAAAAGAGTTGCCACCTTTTAAAAAAAATATTTTCAAATTATTTTTAAGTTGCATCAATTATTACATTATGAGTATCGATCGAAATTGTTTTGAAAGGGCTTTTTTTGTTAATTAATTGTAGAAGGGTTGCCACCTGTTTCAAAAAGCAAACTCGACTTAAATAAAGGCAGAAAAATTGGAATGTACATACTGATATAGATGTCCGACGAAAGTGGTTTGAAAATATTTTGCAGAGGGTTGCCACCTTGTTACAAAGCTAGACTCATTATAAGCAATAGGTTAAATAAATAACTTCAACTTGAATATAAATCAAAATTGCTTTGAAAAAAACTTTATTTTTAAACCACATGTAGGAGGGTTGCCACCTAATTTTATAATTAAATTCAATTGAAATTAAGAGTATTAGATAACTTAAATATGTATCACAATACAAGTGTCAGACGAAATGGTTCACCGAGGTCGAGTCGAACTAAATAAAATTTTATGAAATATTGAAACATGGGCGTAAAACAAAGGAGTATTAGGAAATATTTAGTTTGAGCATTTATAACATTAAAGAGGGTTTCCACCTGTGTAAAAAGTTAAACTCAAATTATTTACTAAGTAAAATGAATGTGTTCTTAATAATATCACGTATTGTACGTTTAAGTCCAGGTCAAGACGAAGGCGCTGGACTGATCCTTTTTTTATCACATGCCGAAATTGTAACATTTTTCCTTATTTTAATTGTAAGTATGTACACAGTATGCAACTGCACCCGCCTTTAACCTACCTGGGAAGACGTATACATCCTTACCTACATACATTCGTACATACATATGCATAAATAGGGTTGCCAAATTTTTTATGAGCGAAATCAGTACGTTAGACTTTTCCATGTTAAACAAATCAGTACTTTTCAGTACATTTATTCAAAGCAAAATTATGAATGTAAGTAACAAATAATCCTCTAAAACGCCAGAATAAAGTTCATAAAAAACAAAAGTGTTACTCATTTTAACATGAGTGTACACATCACTACACAGAAGCCAATAAATTATGTTATATTTATGTCATTTTTGTATAGCAATATTGAGATCATTTCCATCTTCAGTGTTTAAATAGTCAAAAAATTCAATACATTTCATTTTAAAATACATACTTTCAATTTGAAGTTCACTTCAAAAAAATTTTTATTAAAAGCCGGTTTCTCTCTTTGAGCCAGGAAGTAAACTTTATACTCAAGATCCTCTCAGTTGCTTCGTTTGAGTGTGGTATTGAAAAAAACACAATATTTACGCGCCGGCGTCTTTGGATTTTTAAGGCGCTCGCACGTAAAGAAAATAAAGTGAAAAAAAACAACAGCGTATTAGTGTGTAATTCTTAACAATAATAACAAATGTTTGCTTTATTGGTGGAGGAAAATGTTTAATAAAACAGTGTGAATTGAAATAGATATTTTGCTGGTAGCTTGGTGAGATTACCTTTCTGACGTGGTGTGGTGGCTGGCAGTCGCTATGCTGGTCTTCAAGGAAGTGAAGGAGTGCCAACAAACGAAAAAGGGTTTAAGCCCGCCGAACAGTAACCTTCGTTGAGTTTCCCTTCAACTCAGTTACCATACGGCGGGGCATATTGTTAACGGCTGGAATGTTAGACGTATCTTATATATGTGTGTGTGCACTCAGATACAAAATTATTTAACGCGCATTAGAGTGGTGCAGCATATTTAGGTATGGGCCTAAACATACAAAATTACATATTTTTCAAACTATGGAAAAGTACCACTATTTTACGGCTTCATCTATAAATCCTTATGGCTTAAATTAATTTTTCTACAACACAAAAACTTTGAAAGACTAAGAATTCGCTAAAAAGAGTATCTAACGCTATGCCTTGTATGCAAAACTCATTTACAATATCAGTAAATTGTGAAAAAGAATAGCAAGTTATNTGGACGTGGTTTTCATTTTCAATGCACTTTATTGCGTGTATTAACCAACTAAGCAATCTAATTTATTTTTATTTTTGGTAAGCTCCGGAAACCACTAACCCAAATATGGTTGCCTGCGCCAATAAGCCACAGACCGAAGATGGGGGGNGACGGATCGGGGTAGCCCGGTAAAAATTTGGATCGGCCAACCGCATAAACTGAAATGGCGCGGCAGCCGCGGGGTCGATGTCCGTTGTCGGGCTCAATCGGTTGTGTTGTGCCATGATTGTCGCCTGAGTTGTTACGCGTTCCGCGACACCGTATTTTCCTCTAAGTGCCAGCGAGCATCTCCGGTTTCGTCCAGAACCTCCGCGTTCCAATTGTAGGTCCCGCGCCAGACTAGCATCGATTACCGTGCTGGGCGCGCAGGGGTCAATTATTGCGCGGACCAGGTGCAGGCGGCCACCAGACTCGATTCGAACGATGGCGGTCGGTGAAATCGGCTGAAAAGGGCGTAAGATCGTTGTAGCCATAGTGTTGTTGTTTATGCGACCTGTTCGAAACCCCAGTCTTCGAACGGCCAGAGCTGCATTCTGCTCTTGGTTCTGCTCTTGTGGCCGGCGATATGGTGCTTTCCCAACAGTCTTACGTCGAGACAAGCGGAAAGGACCAGTTTCCGCGCCATCACGACTNTATTTTCCTCTAAGTGCCAGCGAGCATCTCCGGTTTCGTCCAGAACCTCCGCGTTCCAATTGTAGGTCCCGCGCCAGACTAGCATCGATTACCGTGCTGGGCGCGCAGGGGTCAATTATTGCGCGGACCAGGTGCAGGCGGCCACCAGACTCGATTCGAACGATGGCGGTCGGTGAAATCGGCTGAAAAGGGCGTAAGATCGTTGTAGCCATAGTGTTGTTGTTTATGCGACCTGTTCGAAACCCCAGTCTTCGAACGGCCAGAGCTGCATTCTGCTCTTGGTTCTGCTCTTGTGGTCGGCGATATGGTGCTTTCCCAACAGTCTTACGTCGAGACAAGCGGAAAGGACCAGTTTCCGCGCCATCACGACTTACCGTTGGGATATGGGGGCGGTCGGAAAGAACTAGTTCCCGAGCCACCCGCATGCTGTGATTGGGACTGGGCAGGCTGTCTGAAGGACCCAGTTGCAGAGCTGCTCTCCCTTCGTTTCTCATGTTCGAGTGGTGGTCGGAAAGAACGGGTTTCCGAGCCGCCACTTACTTCTACTNACTGCTCTCCCTTCGTTTCTCATGTTCGAGCGGTGGTCGGAAAGAACTCGTTTCCGAGCCGCCACTTACTTCTACTGGAGCGCCCTCAGTCGTAGCTTCGTCCATCTCTGCCTCCTCGACCTGCTGAGCCCATGACTTATAAGGCTCTTCTATGTGGATGGATAAGGCACCCTGGGAACTGTTGTCATCATCCTCTATATTGCGTGCTGGCTGCCTCCAATTATCGTTGGTCTCGATATAGAGCGAAGTATGATGCTTCTCACGGCACCTGTGACATCTGTCGGCGCTAGCACAATTTTCCAGACGGTGGAATGGCGAGAGGCAGTTCGGGCAGTAGCGGTGTATCAGGATCGCTCGCAGTCGTTCTTCTGCCGTCTTACCACGGTAGATGGGGCAAAGTCTTATGCCGTGGTCTTTGTCGCACAAGCGACAGGCGA